TGCCACGGGCGAAGCGGGGCCGCACAGACGCGCCAGCTGAGCGGTGGTGTTGGTGCTACTGGAGTGGCCTGGGCACCGGTGTGTGACCCAACAAGGAATGAGCACTGTCAGGCAGCGCTTATGGGTCTTTTTGCTGCCCAACCCACTGGGCTGCATCTTGATGTCTGCAGGCACGCGGGGCTGGGGACCCTCCCCAGGGGCTGGTGCTGCGGCTCTCGCCCTGCCCACGGTCACAGGTTACCGGCAGCTGATCCCAAATCCAACCCTCAAAAGGCTCTGGGCAAGGTGCTCGGAGGAAGGAAGAAGCTTTATTTCAGGGAAGAGAAGAAAAATCCAAACAAAGCAAAACACTCCCAGAGCAGCTGCAGGGGAAACGGACATCTGCAACCGTGGGGCGCGAGGAGCTGGGGCCAAGTGTGGGACAGGATATTAGTGCTGGCACCACAGAGGGGACGTGTTTGGAGGAAGCACAAAAAACATTAAACTTCTCTAGTTTTTAAAGGATCAAAGCTGAAATACCTGCTTTGCACCCTCTCATAACGCCCCGCTCCCCGTGGGGTTCTCCCAGGCTAGGTTGGCCACGGTGCTGTTGTCTCTCGAAGGCTTTTGATTCTCCTTTGCTGACCCAAAGCCTCAGAATAGTCAAATATAATTCTCCTGAATGGAAAAAACCTCTCCGTGCTGTGCCTGGTATCAGCTGTGGAGCGGTGGGTGTGAGGTCTGGTGGTCACCCCGGCGTGGAGGCTGTGGTCCCTGATGCCCCAGAGTAGCGTCACAAGCCCCACCAGGACCAGCTATAGCTCCCCATCACGGGGACCGCGCCTGGCAGCCGCCCCACTCCCCCAGTAACAGGAATAACAGGAGGGAGGGGACACTGGTAGCCCTGAGGACCCCGAAGAGGAGAGGTGGCCATGACCCCGCGAGCGCTGCCTACCTCCCCACAGCCGCGGTGCCCATGCAGGGGGTGATGATGCCGTGACACCCCAGTTACCCCGGGGAAAGGTGGGTGCCTGCAGCACACCGAGCAGACGGGAAGACGTCGGCGCTCCCCAGGGCTTCGCACTGCAATAGTCAACCTGTGGTCATTGGCTTTAGGGTTTTTTTCTTTTTCTTTTTTTTTTATTGTGTAAATCGATAACCATTTTTTTTTCACAACAGTGCAAGTAAATTCCAAAGTCAGCCCATTGAAATGGATCTTCTACAAAGGAAGTTTTGAAGTACTTAAGGCAAGATTTGTTCATCTCTAGCTTCAATTTAGCATTGAAAAAATACCAGGCCTTCAGGTACTGATTGGCTTAACAAAATTTATATGGGAAATTTTTTTAAATTTATTTTTTGGTTTAGTCTTTTATTTAAAAGATTTACATTACTATGGAAACTGATACTAAGACACACTTGTCTCTGGCTTTCTTTAAAAATCCGTTAGTTCCTGTTTGATTTTTAGATGTAAAGGCACACAATAAAGCTTTATGCATTTATTAAAATATACAGATTTTTGTAAATTTAGATTTTTTTTCTTAGTATCTTGATAATATATATATTATATATATAGTTGTCAACAACACAATCATTTGAAAATAAATTCACTCCATAACATATCTGCACTTTTTTTTTCTTCCTCATGACACACCACAAGATCCCATTGTACAGTGCACCAATGGGCTTTTGGAAACCACACACAAAAAAAATTAACAGAACAAACTTTTTTAAACAAATACACTGATTTCATACCAGAACTGCAGAGAACTGTTACACCAGAAAGTACCATTTGAAAAAAAGCAAGATATACATCAGAAAGACCAAACAAAATGAAGTGAAGATCATTTACAAGCTGGATTTACATCATCCCATGTCGTTCGGAGCGTGGAGGACGCCGGCGTGCTGGGCCTCACAACCAAGCGGTTGTAACCGTGCGGAGTGAATTTGTGGAAGGATTGAGATCTTCTAGAGTCGGTCTGGAAGGTCTGAGGTATTTATGCTCCGTCCGTATCATGCGCTGGGCCTCCCGGGGTGCGTGTCCCACTGAGGGTGGTCAGGCGTGGAGGGGCTCTGTGCCTCTCACCGGTGGTGGGAGCAGGGTGGTACCACTCTGCCTGGGCTCTCCCGATGGGTTGGGGGCGCAAGAACCTCCCTGAGGGCACCCAGGGGGAAAGGCTGGATTTTGGGGTTACAGCAAATTAAGCACTTGTACCTCCTTCCAGCATCCGAAACTGCCCCCAGGGCCAGCGGTGCCCAGAAGTGATGGACACACCTCAACATTTTGGCCTTTGCAGCTTTTGCTTGCGCCCACTGAAGACCCCAACGCCCGCTACAAGGGAAAGCACCCGAGCTCCCAAATAGGGGCTGACCCCGCGTGTCCCCCTGGCACTGCCGCTCGGAGCAGGGTGGGGGGACCCAGGCCAGACCCAGCCTCCGTCTCGGCTGCCTTCTCCTTACCCTCCAACATCAGGTGGGATGTGGTGGGCTTGGAGGAGGGCATGGCTCCTACCCACTGGCATGGTGAGGGCTGACGGCAGCCCATCCGCACCAGGCAGCGCTGCGCCATCACATGTTTTTTCCCGGCAGGCAGCGCTGCGCCATCACATGCTTTTTCCCGGCAGTCCCGGGGACATGGTGCAGCCGTCCTGCCCCGGTGCTTCCTCGGGAAGGGGAAGGAGGGTGGGCGAGGGGGAACAAGAGCAGCCAAAGGGCTTCACTCAACGCATGGGTCCAATGGAGAGGTTCCTACAGACGCCAAAGAGCAAGGGAGCAAGCCCTTGTCAAATTACACAGCGCAACTAGAGCGGACATGACAACAGACACTGGTACTGGTAACTGCTTTGTAGCAACAGATTAAGGCTGCAAAAGGAAAAACAGGCTTTGATTTGACAGGGTACTTGGGCATGAGTCTGTGGTTCGGCAGATGCCCAAATACCGTGCGGAAGCAGGACGAACACGACTATCTCGGATATGGTATAGTACAAGAGCTGGTAGGAAAATAGCATCAATCTTTCTCCCTGAAAATGTAAAGCCAGACCTGCGAGGTGCCATCTCTCTTGGGTACTTCTAAGGCATCGAGGACAAGCGCAAGTGAGAGGTGACCTTTGCGAGAGGCTCTCGGCACCGCCGGAAAGGTTTCCCAAGCTTGCCTGTGAGCAACACGCACATTGCAAACAGCCTTTCGGTGGGACACACTCTGGATTTTTGCTGGCAGAAGCATGGTAGGGGTGGGCGGCCGGAGGGGATGCCAGAGCGTAGCTTACAGGTCCTTTTACCAAATCCTCGCTCTCATCCTGAAGCCCTCGCAGAGGCCAAACTTGCCCGGGGCGCTCCGGGTTAGGATCTGCAGAATCATATGCTCTTCTCCACCGGGAAAAGGACTGTAGTTTGTCACCATTTGGGACAGCAGCTGCATGTGGGAAACTTTTGCAGCCACGGACAGAGCCTCTCCCTTGAGTCTTCGAGCCCTCAAGCCTTCAGGAGCCGAGAGGAGGATGAGTGTCGCTATCTGATGGGGTGCTTCCTTGGTTATTATTTATTCGAAAAGATGTTCCTCCATTACAATGTTTCAAGCTAAGCACATTGGTGATGGACTCCGGAACCGGACCTGCTGCTAATCGCTGACTCAGCAACGCAGCTACTGTCTGTGCTGGGGGAGGTGGTGGCTGCGACCAAACCCCATCACCGCTGACGGTGCTGCGGGGACGCTGGTGGCTGGGGACCTGATGGCACTGCTGGGGGTCACGGCCGCGCTCTGGCCATGCCGGAGGGATTAACTGTAAGAAACGTCCACCTGCTGACCACCTCTGCCCTTCGAGCCACCAGCTCTGCTTGGTTTCAAACTGAAATACGGACACTTACAAAACGAGCGGTGTTTCAGTGTTTTTTTGTACAGTATCCACCAAGCCAGGGTCGGAAACAGAGAAAATGGTGGAGACGGCAGCAGGGAGGGAGATGTCAGCAGCTGAGTCCTCCCCACTTGCCAGGCGTGGCCCAGCCCTGCCAACACGTGGCTGACCCACGGGCGTTGCTATTTCACGAGGGCATGGATGCATCCCTGAAGCACCGAGACCAGAGCGAGCAGTGGAATGTGCTCACCACAGCAAGGGAACTACGGCGCAGTCATTTTTGTAAAAGACACAATGCGGTGAACACAGCGCCCAGCCTCAGACCGGTGATGCTCAGAGGAACAGCGTGTGGTCCTTGTTGACTATTCACGCAAGGTGGGTTGAGCCAAGAGGGGGTCGCAGCCCTCGCTGTGACCAGAAATGAGACCAGAAATGGGACCAGGCTCCCAACTGCAGATTTGAGATGTTTGGCCATGCTGGGACTTCAAGATTTGATTGAGGCACGGACTAATTTCAAATCCCAGTATTTGGGATGCTTGGATTTGGGGTCTGGGGATGGACACGGGGTAGCACTACTGTGTGCATCAAGTGCCTTTGCACCGGAATGGGCCATGGAAACCCTGTGTGATGACACCAGCATCCCTGGATCCACCTCTGAGCTATTCCCTTGAAAAGGGTTTGTCCGTCTCCATTTTGTAGCTACCTATGCATCTGTCCCTCTGGCTCAGCTGTTACTTCTAAGGTGGTTCAAAGAAAAAAACACACATGCTAAGAAAGTGCCAAAAATGTAAGAGTGGCATCTCACCGCTGCAACTGTTGGGTGGACATTCCCCAGGGACAACTTGTCCCCTCACACGGCTCCTTCCACTTCTCAACACCCTCCCAGTTTGGCACATCTCCCACTCCACCACCTCCGCTGGCATGGCTGGTGCCAGGAGATCAGCTGGTGCCGGGGGATCAGCCGGCATTCACCAGAGCAGGACCAGACTGGTGGAGCTGGGATGGGCCACGGGTGTGTTTGGTTCATGGTCAACGGCAATCACAGAGCGTGTCCCGAGGACCGGAAGTGAGCGGGGTAGTGGTGGAGGACCCGGGGAGGTTGGGACAGGATGGGGGAGCCGCGGGGACCCTTCCTCATTGGCTGGGCAGCCCGGCGCCCCACTGCCTGCCCCGCTACTCGGGCGAGTAGTCCAACTCGTCATTGGCGATGAGAGCCTCTGACGGCGGTTTGTGCCTGCCTTTGCTTTTCGACCTGCTACTCGTCCGATGGCTTTCCTTTGCTCCTGCCATTTGCTGGTATGAGAAGCCCTTGTCCTCGGAGGGACCCCAGCCTGGGTAGCCCTCACCCTCGGTGGTGCAGGAGAAGCCATCATCCACGGAGAAGGGGTCAACGTCCACATCGTAGCGCTGGTAGGTGCTCTGGTGGAGGGCCTCCTCCCGGGCGCTGATCTCCAGCGTGCTGTTCCACATCCCGTAGCCAAAGTAGATGAGCAGACCTGTGGCGGGTGAAAGGGAAAGGGTTGGACCCAGGCCATGCACACTGGCCCCACAACCCCCGCTAAAGCACTGCTATAAACACGCCATGCCCCAAAATGGCACCTGCCCACCAAAACCCACATCAGGATGGGTTGGTGATCCAGCCCGGCTCACCGCCAGCGTCCTCCCACCCAGCGCCGGGCTGGTGCCAGCTGGTGAGGGTTAAGTGTGTCTAAATATGCCTATATTTTTTAAGCCAGTGTATGTTGTAGTTGATGTCTGCTCTTCAGACACGTTGAGTTCATGTTTTTGGGCTGCCAGCTGTGACCCAAGGGCTGTGTGTTTTAAACATCAGCTGGGATCGCTGCTGGGCACAATGGATCGCTGCTGGCCACGTGATCGTGCCATCTGCAGCTTTGGTGGGACAGCAGCTCCCAGAAGACGTGCGGAGGCTCCCAAGCACCGACGAGCTGCGTTGCCATCCTGTTACCCTCCTGGCTACCCTTTTCTCTCTGGAGTTTCCTTATCATCTCAGGCTCTCTCCTGGTGCTCACAGCCATGTGTGCCTCAGGGTTGTCAGGATGAGTGTATTCAGTATTAAAACAGCTCTGAAATTCTGTTCTCCTCTCCTCAGGAGTTTCATTTCATCTTCTCCCTCTGCCCCTACCTGATCTCATCTTCCTGCACCAATGCTTTCGCCAGAAGCAAATGTATCTGGAGACTGAATTTCCAGTGGATCCTGGGATTAACCTACCCCAGTCGTGTGCGTAGAGAAACCCAGACTTCTCCACATGCCGTGGACTGGCCACAGGGACTGTTTGTGAGGTTAAACCCCGAGTCTGTGTGGCAGGACTGCACAGCTCTGCTGGAAAAATAAACGGGATGTGTCTGCCCCAACAGGTGAGCAGCCATAGATGGGGCTGGTGGAGTCCATCACACCTTAATGGAATGGCTTAATTGAATCCTTGCCACTGCTGGCAGCTGGAGAGGTATTAGATGTACCCACAGGGGAAAGTATTTAATTACAGTGGATTAAACTGATGTTTTGGAGTCTTCTTTGCTTCCAGGTGAAAGGGCTTTCCCTGGATCTGCAGCTTCACCTATTGCCTTTGAGGGCCAAAAAAAGGACTGAGCATGTCTTTTCCATGCTGAAGGGTGCACATGGCAGCTACTGCCCAACGGCTTGGCTTGGAGTTAGGAGACTCTCAGAGATGGAGCTTCACTACGGAACCTCAGTTTTGCAGGACTGACTCAGGATAACTGCCGTCCTCAACCTGAAGCAAAAGAGGGAATGGCAAAATGGAGAATAAAAAGTAGCAACCTCCCCCTGAAGGATGGAAACCATGAGACTAGTCTAAACTCTCTAAGATGCCAAAGGGAGATCCAAGGTCTGTTCATGTCATCTCCCGGTTCTCAGGTCAAACATTTGCAAACATCAGGAGGCACCGGAGAAAAGCACAAAGGCTGGTGAGCCCGGTGTGGTGGCCTGAGCTTGCCTACCCCCCCTCCAGGAGAGGCAATTTCTGCTTTTACAGGAGGTGGCAGCTGACTATGACCTTTGCATAAATCCTCATTCTCTTTCCCCGCCACTTTCTCCCTCTCAACCCAGGACACTGAACCCTGGTCCCAAAGCGGAGGGCTGCTGGTGGGATACATGGCCAGGGATGGTCCTTTTGGGTGCTGGCACCATGCTCACGGTCTGTTGTCTGCAACTGGGGCTCCTGCAGGCTGCTGCAATACATGTGTTTACCCACAGGGTTACTATTGCTCTGTAAAAAGTCCTTGGCTTTGATATTGTCTTGTTGATTCAGTTCTCTATAATCCAGACTTGCAAGCCTTCAGGAGGAGCTATGACAGCTGCTCTTTTTCTCTTGGGTTTGTGAAGTAAGTGGATTGCAATATAAAGCAAGGGAAACTATAGACATGCCAGGCTCCTGGCTATGTGCCAGGAAGCCTAGATGTGGCAAAAAAGGACCACAACAGAGCCTGTGAGTCCCAAGATCTCCCTGTCACAAAGTTGAGGACTTAGACCAAGAAAAGGAGATAAGGTCGACAGATCCTTTGGCTCTGCCTCTCCCAGGGCTTTTGGTGCTTTTTGGGAAGCTGTAAATGCAGTGCAAAGATTTTGGTGTGGGCTGCTGAAGAGCTCAAGTGGGTGAAATAGCAAGAAATTAGGCAGATTTCTGTAGAAAACCTGCCTGCAAGGCAATTTCCAGAACCCACCTACTTTACATCAAAAGACTCATCAAAACAGTCACCTTTGCATGGAGCAGTTTACTTCCATCAAACTGACATTTTCTGGAGGTGTAATTTTCCATTTAGCTGTGGTTTGGGGGCTTGATTAACCGAGGTTTCTAAGAACTTCAGGATGACAAGGGGCAAATGCGAAGGACTGGGTATATCCCAGCTGAAGAAGCATCAGCCTAAGCAGTTTAATTAGGGAAGTTATTATTAACATCCTTTCAAAAGAATGTCAGTTAAAAAATTAAAATAAATGAATCTGGGACTCACCCACAAAACACCAGACGGCGAATCGGATCCATGTGATCGTGGAGAGCTTCAGCATGAGATAGATATTCACCAGCATAGCAAAAGCAGGGACGAAGGGCAGACAAGGTGCCATGTAGGGCAGCTTCTTGGGGTTTTCTGGCTGCTGCAAGATGACAAACACCAGCACGACAATGAGCAGGACCATCAGCACGACGAGGAGGATAGCCCACCAGCTCTGCTCGTAGATGTAGTCTGCCCCGAAAATGATGAAGGAGCAGAAGATGAACATCAGGACAAAGAGCAGGAGCACGCAGGTGGTGACCGTGTGGCCGGTGGCTGCCGTGGGGCGGTCCATTTTCCCTGGCAGTCCGAGGTGGATCCTCATCGTGTAGTAGCGAGGGCCAATCAACTTCTTCAGCTTGATGAGGTAGATATTCTCAGACTCATCTGCCTCTATCCCTGAGGTCATGTCAACCGTGCCATAGTTGGGGTGATTCACGTTGTAGGTGGATTTATCAGATTTCCCAATTAGCATCTCGTTATCCCCCAGCGACGGCAGATTTTTTGCCCCACATGTGTTGGTCGGTGGGCCAGCAAACTCTTCTCCTTCACTCCCTGGGGAGCAAACCTCCTTCTCGCAGTCGGCCAGGATTCCCTCCTTCTTCTTGGTGTGCTCCTCGGAGAGGAATTTGACGAAGCCATCAATGTCACTCTCGGGCTGGTATCGGAGGAGCAGGACACAGACGGAGACCAGCGTGTAGGCGAGCAGCGTGCCGATGGACATCATTTCTATCAGGTCCCGCAGGCTGACCAGCAAGGAAAGCAGAGCTGCAAGGAATCCGGAGACGATACAAGCCACTACAGGAGTTTCTGTGTAAGAACTGATGTGGGACAAAAATCTGGAGTGCAAAACAGATGCAGAAAGTTAAAATTGCAGATCGCAGCGATTCCCTGTTGCAATAACGCTTACCCGGCTGGAGGAACCAGGCTCAGAGCTGTGAACCCTTCAGCTCTGCTTGCTTTCTGGACCTTCGACTCCAGACAGCCAGAGACTGGAAATACTGCTGAGGCCGCAGCTGGAGTTAGAGCTAGGTCTAAGCAGCTCTGTGCCATCTGAAACGGGCACTGGGATGTGTGCAAATACATGCCAAAATTTTACGCATAGAAGCTGCTCTCCTTTGCAAGCAACTCTTGAATGCAACGCTCATCCTCCCATAGGTTGAATCTCTAGGTATCGGCACCAAATGAGCAGCTTTTGCGTAGATCTCCTGATTTTTTTTTGCCCAGGCTTTTGGTTTGGTGTGTGCCCCATTCTGCAAGCGCTGAGTCTGTGTGTGCCTGCTGTTTCCCATGGTGACGGCACTGGGCTGTCTGGGTGCAGGACAGCCCCTGTCACCTCCGGCACATTTCCCCTGCGGGTCCCAAGGGGGCAAAAACAAATGCCATCATGGGCATGACTGACCTGAAGAGCAGCCCGTCACCAGCCATGGCGTAAATGACTCTTGGCATTGGGAAGAGAGATCCCAGTAAGCTGACAGTCAGGCCGGCCACGGACCCGATGGCAACGATAAACTTGGCTGCGTAGAAGCCGTGGGCCACAAACATTTCCATCAGCGGGGACTCGGTGTCGATGGCGTCGTAGGGCACCATCAGCGTGAGGATGATGCTCACCTGGGGAAGGCGAGAGGAGCAGGACACGGGTGTCAGAAGCAGCTCTGGGGGCCGCTGAGGACTCGCAGGGTGCAGGGGCTGCTTCTGAAAGGTGCAATGCCAAAATATTTCACGTCTGATTTGGATTACACCTCTATGTGCAAATGAGTCCGAGGGGAGCGTCGGCAGCACACTGCAGTCACACGGAAACACAGCTGATGTCCCAGCTCCCACCAAAGAAAGAGCCCTTGTCCAAGGGTCGGACTGGCAGCCCGGCTCATGGGGAGGGGAGCCATGCAGATCCCCAGAAGGGACACACTGTATAAATATTTTTTTGTGTATATGTGTATATCTATGCATACATATATATTTACATATGTTGACATATGTATAGCTAGTACTTACGGACACATATGCCGTCAAGCATGTGACGAGCGAGGCCGTGATGGCGTAGGGGATGGAGGTGTTGGGACTTTTTGCTTCTTCTCCCGTGGTAGCGATGATGTCAAAGCCGATGAAGGCGTAGAAACACGTCGCGGCCCCTTTGAGCACCTGCGTGGAGGACCAAGTGTCTCAGCACCAGGAAGGCCACAGGCACCCAACAAGGGAGAGGGAACTGAGCAAAAAGGAAGGAGCCCAGTTCTGCTTTGTCTGAGCCAAAGGGTGAGTGGAGCAGATCAGATCAGTTGGGTGTTCCCATCTGGGAACCGACCCCGGGGACACCCATAACCCAGTGATCTGGTCTAGGGAAAAGATTTCAACATGCAGCCCGAGTCACTGGAGGCTTCTGCAGCTCACTCGTGGTGCACTACCCACTCGTGCCCACACAGTGCCCGAATCTGTGGGGAGATCCGGGCCGCGACAGAGGAGACAATTCACCAATTTCAGGTTTGCTTTCGCAATACTCCACCCCAAATCTGTTTGTATTAGTAGGGATCTGGAGCATGTTTATGCATTCCTTCTTAGCAAGATGTCTCATGTGGCAGCAAGATCCACTCGCAGAGGAAGCAGAAGAGAGCAGCACCAGTCAGATGTGTGCCGCTTTCCAAACAACCTCTGTTTTGCTTGGAAGCTGCAGACAGGTTAGGAGCACACGTTGGAGCACTTGGATGAGGAATTATTTTCACTGCTATTTTTTTTTAATGTGATTTATTAAAATAGACAATAGTAGCAAGGACATTTATAGGGAAGAAAAGCTGAAGCAGGCTAAAGACTATGTGGCTGTAAGGAGCGAGCTGATTTGCAGTCGTAAAACCCTCACATACATCTAGCTAGCTAGCTGGGTACCAGGTGTCCATCGCACCTCTGTCATCTCAGCTGTCTAGGGATGGAGCACACAGTAAAACTTGTCTCCTTCAGGGGATTACATGTAACTACCTTGTTAAAGTATCCCCTATGCTCCTGGGGATCTCATGCTTCTGCTGTGGTGGATTTACTTACACAAACAGTTTGGGAGACAACCAACCAGCTGAAAATGAGAGGAAGACCCTATCAGTTTTGATGTGTTTTGGATATGTATCTTTTCAAACAATGGGGTTTTGCCAGGAGATATTTGGTAAGCATAATACATATATTGATATAATTGGAGCAAAACAGCTATTTTCTATTTTCTCTTTTTCATTCCTATTATATGGCATAAAAAGCCATGCACAATCCAAAGATAAATATAACCTCTGCTCTCAAACGGGCCTCAGTGCTCTTCTGTTGTTCTCTGGCAGAGAGGTATTGATTTACCGAAGGGAGGTACAGGGACTGTATGGCAGCTTGGGACCCTTTCAATAATCAAGACTCTTGTTTTACTTTACTTTCTTGCTTATTTTTCTGCACAACACCCTGATGGAGTCGAGCAGTGTAAATCTGAGAAATTATCTTGGGTTTAGGCCAGCTGAGATATTTTCAGTCTCTGTTCATCCTTGGATAAAAACCAGTGCAAGCAAGCTAGAAAAGCCAAATATGTCCAAATTCTCAGTAAGCTTTGAGGGAACATCTATAAAATAAGTACTGGCAGGTGGCATTATGAAGTGCTCAAAACAAATGCCTGAGAACATTGTTGTTGAAAACCAGCCAACACAAGTATCTCTCCCTCCGCGGAGGCTGAGCCACCTCCTCCCGAGCACCCTGTCTCGGATGGCCACTGCATTTTGCTCCGTTGCCTGGCAATTAGTGGCATTTTCTGATGTCTACTTACACAAGGAGTTTGGCTCTCCAGGAGGACATTTTGGAAAAGTTCTGGGTTTATTCTAAGCGGTGGCAGAAGATACGGGCCAAGCATTGCTGTACACTTTGGATTTGGCAGAGCAAGGAGGTCTGGATCCAAGCCTGCAGTGGTGGAGGCTGGAGGTCCCTGGCCAAAGTGCAGGTGGGTTTGGCAGGGTTGAGGGTTGGGGATTGCAGTGGAAGTAGGATGCCCATACCACGAGCAAAGCTGAGCGTGCGGCAGGTGGGTGGCACCGCTTAGGTGCTGGGTGTCCCTCCGTGCACCCATGACTTACCCCTGGCCATCCAAACGGCAGGAATTGCCCTTCAGACCAGTTGTCACCTTTGACATAGAAGAGACCAGCAATCATGATGAAGATCCAGACTACCAGATTAATGACATTGAGCACGTTGTTCAGCCCCACCGAGTTCTTCACCCCCATGGCCACGATGATCGTGACAATGACAGCAATGACCAGAGCAAGAAGGTCAGGGTACGACTCCTCTCCTTTCCCTGGGTAAGAGAAAAGAGGTGTGTAACTCTCCCTCCATGGTTGTGGGTAGCATCTCCAGAAACTCTGTGGGGGCTTTTAAAAGTGCTTTTCAGACCCGGAGGCTTTGCAGAACTCCTTGATCTCATTGCAAAGGTGGTCTCCAGATGCCCCTGCCTCCGCTAGCTACAGCTGTTTTATTGAGGTGATAAATCTTGCTGAGACAAGTGTTAGGAGTTTTGGGAGGGCAGCAAACAAATGATCAGGTCCCAGTTTGCATAACATGTATCTGCCAAGTACTAACTAAAAGTCAATCAAACATTAAGTTTTCCTGACACAGCTACAGGATAGCTAGCTGCTTCACTTACTGGTAGGAACACGGACTGTTGCTGGAACTGGCGGTCATAAAGGACCACCACAGCCCTGAGTTTCTACGTGGCGGTACTGCAGACACCAGCTCGTACTCTCTAACATAGCTCTGCGTGTGCCTTAACGAGCCTGAGGAGAGGGCTTGCACTGGGTGAAGTGCTCCTGCGCTGTCTTTAGCCTCTGACACTTGGCTGATTTTTCTGTGTGCTTGTTCTGCTAAATGCCAGCTCACCTGAAGGGGCTCAAAGCATCCCATCCCCCTAAATCCCATCTCTGAACCAGACTGCAAAGGCAAAGAACCAGAGGCAGACAGGTGGTAAATAATGAATGAAGCCTAATATCCACGTCTGACTTCTGACGAGCTTCCAATTACTTTTCAGGCCCTAATTACTGCAGGTAGCTATGCGTGGTGTGACGCACCTAGTCCGTTCAAGGTCCCGACGCTGTTGATCATCCAGCGGCTGATGGTGTGGTTGGCCAGCGAGTCGAACATGCTGCTGAGGGCACTGGCGCCTGCGGCCGTGCCGATCAGGTACTCCAGGATGAGGTTCCAGCCAATGAAGAACGCCACGAACTCCCCCACCGTCACGTAGCTGTAGGTGTAGGCAGAGCCCGTGGTCTTGGGGACCCGCACGCCAAACTCAGCATAGCAAACGCCTGTTTAGAAAAATACAAAGCAACATAAGGAAAAAGTGCTTAGAAAAGGAAAAAGTAAAACTGCCTTGGTCCCACCTGTCTGAGGTGCTAGGAGGTGCCCAGGGCTGTAGGCAGCATCAGGAGGAGCCCAGAGACATGACAGCAGCCCATGGTAATCTTCTCTCCCCAACTGCTTGGCTTAAAAAGCAACCCATTTCCCCATTAATATCAGCTGTGATGGAATTTCTTTGAGGATACACAGTTCAAGCCACCCAAATCTTTATGGTCTGTTGTAGAAGAGCCCTCTCGCTGGTGTGTGCCCCTGATGTGGGACCCTCCGGCATGGGCAGCTGCAGCCCCCATGGGCACATAACCGAAGCTGGGGGAGATCCAGGCACAGGGAGCAGAACTGGGCAGTGCTGGTGGTGTGGTCCTTGGAGCGCTGTTTCCCTGCAGTAGCTTTGACGGTGATAGATACCTCTTCTTCCCCATCAAACAGTGACACCACAATATTATTTTTTCCAAGAATGTTTCTCTCAAATGTTTTATTTGTGGTATCAACATACTGACAAGCTCCCAGTCCTTTTGGCTGCAGAAAACATCCCTGGGATGGGTGGTGGCAGTGAGACCTACCAGAGGACAGTATTTGGGCACAAGGAGGTCAGGGATGGTTATAGCCCTTGCACGGGATCCTGGACCAGTGCTTCCCAGAGCAACCAGCGTTGCTCACCCTAGAGCAAAACGCCACAGGAGGGCTCACACAAGGTTACACCTCTCCCTGCCTGACTGGAATCTCCAAACGCTGATCTTGGGTTATTGCTATGCAGATCCAGGCAGGAGCACTGTTCTGATCACCCCTGCTCTCATTTGTACCCATGCAAGAGGAGTTTGAAGCCATCTTACACAGAGAACGTAAGTTATTTTAACACTTAAAAATGTTACATGTACGTCTCATTCTGAAGAATAATAGCAGAACTAACTTTGCAGAAGAAGAAAAGCAAAGCACAAAGAAATATTAACTGGAACTGTTTGGGAGGGCATTTCAGTGGACTTCAATACTTTCCAAACTCTTTGTCTACTTACTATGTCAGGATACTTTTCAATAAAATCCTGACCCCGACACATTGCTGTCTTAACAATTAGCTTTCGTTTAGAAGGAATGGATGGACTTAGTCATAAATTCCCAAACTACTGGTCAGAACGAGTGCTGGAAGGCCACCCTGCATCCTGCATGTCTAACAGCGACTAAGCCCCTGCCCCAAAGACCCCGGTTCAGCTCGTATGGGTTAATGGGTTAGGGCTGTCCTTATCGTTGTGTAAACATGTAGTAATTCTTGAGTTCTTTATCAACTACTTTTCTTTATTTAGAAGATAATAATTGCTTCAAAATTGCAATCAGTTCAGTATAGAGAGAGGAATGAATAATTTATAAAAATGTTATGAGGTTGCTGCTCTTACCGTAAGTGCAATTTTTACACAGTACAAACACAGAATTATTGAATCCCTAAGATGACTTTGGTGGTACTGCTTTCTTGATTTTGGAGGATCTTTACAATCCATTCACTGCTTAACTTGCATGCATGATGCTGGCTGTGACTCTTCAAAACTTGATCTCTATAAAGCAGGCCCAACTGCAGGAGCCGCAAGACATCCCCATCACCCAGCTCTACAGACACTCATTATTCAAAGCTGATGAAAAATGCATGCACTTGGCAAAGGTAAGCCATTCACAGACAACTACAGGCTGAATGATTTATGAAATAGGTGCTCTGATGGGGACAAGTATCTAGTTTCTCTCTTCAATGGCCTTAAAAATCATATAATCTTTCTTAGAGGCAGCTCTACTTTTAGCCAATGACAAGATAAGGCTTAAAGAGGATTGTTATAGATACAGAATGATAACGGCAAAGAAAAGATATTAATATGTATAAAATGTTTGAGTTTTCAACTACTCTACCAGGATCCCAAAATAGAAGAGTAATCTTTCACTATGCGTTGCACACAGCAACACATTGTGGATATCTGCATTAGGTATCAGCACATATTAAGAAAATAAACAGTGTTTTTATCACAGCATGCAGTATCCAGTCTGGCGGACATGAGATGCAAGATCTGCCATCCATCCCTGATTGCCACTGGCCGTATTGGATGGCATCAATGAAATCACTTTGCTTTGCCGTGCTGCAGGTCCTCCATCAGAAATGGGGTTCCCAGCACTTCCCTCCATGCTTAAAAAGGAAGATAATATAATAACTTATTAGGATGCAGATTGTATCTCACTAATCTCTGCTGCATCAGTAGTGCATTATTATTATTATTATTATTATTATTATGGCAATACAACTGCATAATAAAACTGTGTTACTCAGTTACCCCTTGACAGCCCCGGCTATTTGGCTCCTCATCCCTCAGTCCCCAGGGAGATGCAGCTCCCCCAGTGCCCCCACCCAGCCAGCCCAGCTCCAGGAGTGCAGGCGGAGCCTGGCCATCCTCTCCCCGCCACGACTCCTTGAATTTGGAGACAGATTCCTTGTTTTTCCCTCCAGTCAAGAGTGATTGCAAGTTTCTGCGGAAAACAAACCAACACGGTGGTTGTTTGGAAGAGCAGTCTTCTTACAGAAGACACCAGCTACGCTGTGTAATTGGTGTGACAGTCATTATGCTGGTGTAATTATACAGTTATTGACATTATTCAGAAGGACACAAACACAGCTGAGCAGTTTGGTTCGTGACATTGTCTCTTCCAAGATCACATCTATAAGCCCCTATTTTTCAGATTTAATTGTCCTCTCCATTCTCTGGTTTGTCTCGTTCGGGGGTAGGAGGCGAGGCAGCCAGCAGCTTTCCATATAGCACATGCATACGGGTTAGATGTTTTCATATTAGTGGTGGCTTGGGGTCATACTGGGCATCCTGACCTGCCTGGTGGGGACTTTTGCTGGTGTGTGGTGCCTTGGCTGGCTTCAGCCTCAAACTCTGCCTTGCAACAGCCGCTGGGCAGCAGAACTGGTGGTACAAGGGGCTGGAGCAAGCACCGCAGCTCAGTGCATCCTCTTGGCTGCTGCCTTGCTTTCAGTGTGCTGGGGCAGTGGTGGCTGCGGTGTGGAAGCTGACTCTCCTGCTGCTGCCTGGCACGAGAACACAAGGGGACCAAGAGGCATCCCACAGGGCACTGGCACCGATGGGAGTGATGTTCAGGTGAAACAATCCTTTGGGGAGGGGCCTTTCCGCAGTGCTGGAGGTAACACCAATTAATTCACGCTACCACGCAAGAAATCCAGAGGGACCATCCTTCATGAAACAAGAACAGCCAATTTGTCAAGGCAGCTATGTGGCAAAATCCTATTTTTTGGGATAGCAAGCCACCAAGCCTGTTCGTTGTGTTTCACGATCACTGTGTGTAGATATACAAAAGGCAGCTCCATAAAGAAAGCTTCCTGAGAAAGAAGACTCCTATTTCTCCAGCACCGCCCAAGCAGCTCATGATCAGCTGCAGCTGAAGCCCCTCACCCCGGCCCTGGTCCTGCAGCCAGGCAGCACCTGAGGCACATGCTCAGCTCTCCTCTGCTCCGTCGGGCACCCCGGCTGTCGCTGAGCCTGCTCCTGTATGGGTACCAGGTAAGAGCATGGCAGTGTGTTCCAAAGCTGTGTGGCTTGGTGCTTGAAACTCTCATCCAGGGCTGCTGGGGTTGCAGAGCAGTTCCCGTGGGAGAGAGTCTCTTCTTTCCTTGCACAGCCTGGTACCAAAGCTTGTGGGGTTGTGTGGCAGAGAAAACTGTCCCACACTAGTAACCATCATGGGGGAGGACCTGACCCTTGCCTGAGCTCACAGTAAGGAGGTTGCAAAACGCGATCAACAAGGTTGTACTATTTCAGGAAAGGAGACCCCTACAAGGACAAGCAACGGCTGGTGGAAAAGGCTCTGCAGAGGGTCAGGGGGTTGGGCAAGAGGCAAACTGCTGATTTCTACCAACAAGTGCTTTTGGTTAGACACCAGGGTGAGGAATCCTGCGGGTCGCGGCTGGTGGAGGCAGCCTGGGGTGTCCCTTCTGCTGGGAAGCTGGGCAAAGGTTGCTGTCTGAGAGCTGAATAAAAGGCCTTCCAGTGAGAGACTGAAAGAGGTTGATTTCATTTAATTTATCAGTTTAATCAGTTGTACCATGTCTGCAAGTACCCTGACAGGGCACATGTTGCTTAAACCTAGGGGAAAGCATAACTGGAATTTGTTGGGTAGATGAAATTGGAAAAATTTGTATCTGAAGCCAGGCTGGGAGGGGGGTTTCCCCACGGCAGGACCTGCCGAGTGGGACTTCCCTGTGGGTGTCTCCTGGGGGAGCTGAATGGCTTTCTGGAAGGGGCTTTTTTTTTAGCCAAAACCCTCCTGGGCTCGCTTTGCAGGCAGTGGGATCTGACTTGGTGATCTGTGATGCACCAAGGGGAAGTAGGTGATCTGGTGGTCCCACCTGGCTCTGTGAGAAACTCCTTCAGATCTCCCCCTGTACACTTGCCCGAGGGAATGACTGTGATGCAAGAGCTGAAATCGCGTCCCCGACAGCCTGTCCGGCTCCTGAACCCTTGTTCAGTTTTACTTGCCAAAAACGTGTTGCTGTTATAAACAACAGCAGCTTCAACACTGCAGTGAGGAAGCGGCCAAGGAGACTATCAAAACACTGCATCCTTTGCAAAACACTTTCCCAGGGCTACAAAAGCAAGGGGAGATGAAAGCTGAGCGGGAAGCGGCACGGGCTCCCGTGGGCGAAGGTGGGGGGAGCTCCCTGCTGAGGGGCAGGGCTCACGTCTGGGGTGAAAAAGCCCCTTTTGGAGGACAGCGTGTTTTTGTTAGATGAGACCCACCCAAGCTCCGTTAGCTCTTGGTTTGCATCACAGCCAGAAAACCCTCGCAGAGGAGAGAAAGTGGGCAGTGGGAAAGGATAAAGACACTGATGCTATCTACTGCCTCAGTCAAAAAACCAAGCATTTTGTTGCATTTGTTCTGCTGGGATCTCAAACAAGCGTCAGATCTCATTGCGTGTTCTCAGCTCTTGTTCTGGGCTGAACCAGCTCTAAATGTGTCCGCGGTGCCTGGTCACTGGGGCCCAGCTGGGGCACTGGGACCCCAGCCAGCACCACGGGGCTCCTTCCCCGGCGTGGCTTTGGGGAGAGTGTGACGCTCGTCCCCGTGCTGTGCCCAGCGTTGTGCCTCTGGGCTGCAGGGCTGCAGGGGGTTCAAACGCACACAC